CACAACATTTTAACAGATGTCTTTTGGAGAGTCTAGAAGCAAAGTAAGCTCCCATCAGCATATAAAATAAAACCCAAAAGAAGTAAAATGTGGAGGGATTATATTTTTCTTTTGGCAATAAGAGAAAGGTTGGGAAAAATCTTGAGATGTTTGGAGAAATGCTTGTTCATAGCCACAAAAGTGAAGAAATTAATAATGTGTTATTTCTTGTTCTGAACACTGACTGTAAGCATGTAACTAACTTTCGTTGACGCAGTTTCATGGGCAGGTAGGGAAAGGATCTGAGAGTGTAAATTATGGGCCAGCAGGGACAGAAATGGGGTGAAAGCATCAAAGAAGCATCTTTTGTCAGGGACAGGATGGGCAAGACCAGTGGTGGATGATTCTAAAATGGTACAGGCCTCCCAAAATCAGGGGTAGGGGGGCCAGAATGGGAGCCTGGAAAAAGAAAGAGAAATTTTTATGTGTGTGTTTTTCTCCAACATTATGAAAAAATCTGAAAGTACAGAAAAGCCAAAAGAACTGTATAGTGATGAGAGAGATACAGTTTTTCAGGTGACAATTTGTTTCCCCCGGGGGCTGATTTTGACCTTCAAAGAAATGTTCTTGAATGAATCAATGAGTGGTCTAAGAGGCTTCCCACACACTTCTTCTGGGGAAGCCAAGGCTGTTCACTGCTACTCCTGTATGCAGTGCTAATTCCAAAAGCAGGAACGTCCTACGAGTCCGCTTCTGTTTTACCTATTGTTTTGGATGCTCCTTGCTCATGCTGTCTCGTCTCCTCCTTGCCTTGTTATCTTTGACTTTGTGCTGGATGTTGTACTGAAAAATTATCTGTGGAGATCATCTGATATTATTTCTTTTGAGAGGATTTTTGTTTGCTTATGCCAGGCACATGGGGGTGCTAGCTGCCAGGACAACAAATTTTATTTAAGCATTACCAAGGCAGTAGGAATACAGTTAGGAACAAGAAATGGTTTCTGCCCTTACAGGTCTTACTAAGAATAAGCAAAAGGATTCATTTAAATAGAGTCCTTAAAGGATAATTTAATTCATACAAGTCTGATCAGCATGCAGCTTTTCCTCACCTTATCCATGCGCACTGGTTAAGGAGTGGCATGCTGGGCGATGCAGAGATGCCCTGAGGTAGAAGTTCTCTTTCAGTTTTATTTCTTAGGTAATTTTAGAAAAAAATTCTAGGAACTGATTATTGCATTCACCATATAAAAGTCTAATCAGAAATAATCAGAACTATTTTACTTCCTTTGACCAAACACCCAGGAAAGAGAATGCTTTAAAACACTACACTTAAGCAGTTACTAATTTCATGGCAGAAATAAAACTAAAGTCCATTTCAAGATTATAAGCTTAACTACTCTAAATCAACAGATCATTTAGAGAAGCTCGAGTGCTTCTGTCGTGGTGGTAGAACCAAACAACAAAGTCCTTCCACACACAAGGTCCAGAGTACCTAGTTTCAGCCTTCACAAGCTGGAGGTTGGAGCTCCTATCAAAATTGTGGAGAGGCGGATTAGCTGAGAAGGAATCTTCAGTGGAGTGTAACCTACAGAGACCCTGACTTAATGATGGTTGACCAAAACAGAACAGTCTCTCTCTGGACTTGACGTCCTTAGTCATTTCCAAAGGTTATCTCGTACTTATTTAATGGCATGGGGGGGGGACGGTGGTTCTCAAACTGATGAAAACTAAAAACCACTCCTCATCCCTCACTCCTGGAAAAAATACTCAGTAGGAGAGCTGACTTAGAAGATTAAAGAAAAACTGGACAGCCACATGCAGAAGAATGAAACTGGACCATTTCCTTACACCACACACAAAAATAGACTCAAAATGGTTGAAAGACCTCAATGT